TTCGAATGACACAAGTCCACGTTCATCTTGCGTTCATCGACACCAGCACTCGCCCTGGACTCTTTAGTCAGGGACTGTTGTGCTTTTGCATAACCTGCAGTGAGTATATCTAATCTTTGCCTGCTTGAAATGCTCCGACGTCTCTGATGAATGTTGCGACCAACTCTCCGGAACGCGTTTCTAGACTCGCCCACTCTATCGCCAGAAGCAGTGGAGAAGATTTCTCGTCAGTGTCCGATATGGCACCAAAATATAGTCTCGGTAAAGGAGACCTTGATACTCTCCAAGAACATTGGGAATCAATCGCCGTTTAGGCTACATTGTTCTTGCTCTTGGCTGTAGACGCAATACTCCGAGAAGTATGGGTGTCAGTTCAGGTCGGTTCTATGGTATTTCTGTCCTGTCCACACTCTCGATGCATCGCCCCTTAGATTCATTAGTGTTGGAGGCGTATGATTCAACTTCTCCTTCGGTAGTAGTCTAATGCATCCATGCTATGTTCTCTGAATGTCATCTTCCACCCGAGTCGGAGTGATGACCTTTTCCTGCCTGTTCGGGTTGCTTTCCCAGTATGGATGCATCTCGTTTTGGATGCTGTAGGATGTCGAGTCGGAATGCTTCCCTCCAGAGTTTGGCCGCAGTTGACTGAACCTCTCGTAGCCTATTATGTCGGATCGACTTGTCTCGCTTCAAGCTTGTATGTTCAATACTCAACGCCGCACGGAATATAAGGGTTGTCAATTACCAAAAGTCAAGATCGAACGACACTACCTGGCAATTATGCTTGACTCGGGCTGTGCTTCTTCGATGCATCCGAGGATACTCTCCGACCATTAACTCTACTTGCCCGACTGTATCGCGGCGGACGTGTCTCGCTCTTCTGAGACCAGAGCCAAAGCAGTGCGGAAGATCCTCAGCGAAAGCACGTAGCACAAAGGATGTGTCTCAAATGAAAAGGGCATACATAAGGGAGGGAGTGTGAGAATGATAGAGGCACTGTATTTGAAACAAACATGTGCAGATGACAAAAAGACATCGACCTAGAGATATTAGAAATGTATCTGTATCATAAAATATCGGCTCAGGACATCATACGACACCATGGTGTTGGATTACAATAGGGAGGTCTGTCACCTACTACATATGATTTCGCCGAGTGTACAATGAATGAGTCTTCATGGAATATCAGGCAGAAAATGCATCCAAAGTCGAAGAACAGCGAATTTTGTAGCACACGTGAAGACACTGAAGAGTCGAGTCGCACAATAGCGTGACAAAGTCACTGCAGTAGTCACACCACGTGCCCGAGGTTTGTGCGGTTGCGACACGGGCCACAACCGCCACAGGCGTGTTCTTGTTGTTGACTACCAACCTTCTTTTGGGAACTCCGTCCTTAAGCGCAAGTTTCGTCTAAGCTTGTCTCTTACTTCCTTCCTGTCAAATCAAAGCCATGTCGTTCTTCAACACGGCAGCATCCACAGCGCCCGCGGCTCCAGCGGAGAAGGACATTGAAGTTACGGACCCGCCAACTGACTCCATTTCTTCCTTGTCGTTCTCGCCTCAGGCGGATTACTTGGCTGTTGGAAGCTGGGACAATAATGTGCGTGCATATGCTGACGACACGTGTTGGTCACCGTTGTTTGCTGGAAGTTGACCTGAAACTCGCGGGCAGGTACGCGTCTATGAGGTTGGGGCGAACGGTCAGACACAAGGAAAGGCGATGTACTCGCATCCAGGTCCTGTTTTAGGAGTGTGCTGGAATAAGGTGTGTTGTTGCTGTTTTTCTACATGTGGTTTCTGAACGACTTGGCAGGACGGGACGAAAATATTATCTGGAGGAGCAGACAATGCAGCGAGAATGTTTGATGTGCAGACGGGTCAGACCTCGCAGGTTGCTGCACACGATGCACCGGTGAAAGCGGTGAGGTGGATTGAGACGCCGCAAGGTGGCATCCTCGTAACTGGAAGTTGGGATAAGACAGTCAAGGTGCATACTTCTATTGCTCTGCGGAAGTTCAAGAGACTGATTGAGCATGCGCATAAGTACTGGGACTTGCGATCTTCGCAGCCGATCGGCACAGTGAATCTGCCCGAGCGGTGCTATAGTCTCGATGTTGCGTACCCGTTGATGGTTGTTGGTACAGCCGAGCGTCATTTGTGCATTTTCAACCTGAACAACCCTATGACACCTCATAAGACGATGCAGTCTCCATTGAAATGGCAGACAAGAACTGTATCGTGCTTCCCAACAAACAATGGTTTTGCCGTGGGGAGTGTTGAGGGTCGTGTAGCGATTCAGTACGTGGTCTGGGATGCCGCCTTCAATAAACGTAGCTGATCTCTTGCATTTTCCACAAAGATATATTGATGACAAAGATTCAGCGTGAGTCGCATCCAGATGTACATCCTGTACCAGGCTGATTTGGATGTAAAGGAACAACTTTTCGTTCAAATGTCATCGTCGAGATGCAACTCCGAACTCCAAAGATCAATCATTAGTATTTGCTGTGAACGACATCACATTCCACCCCGTGCACGGTACATTCTCCACTTGTGGTGAGCTCGCTCCTTTCTCCCCCAAGGGTCCCCCTGACGACGATTATCTCAGGTTCGGACGGGACTATCAACTTTTGGGACAAGGACGCCCGCACCAGGCTGAAGAGTAAGTTTCATTCCTTCTTGGAAATCCTTTTCCTCATGTCTTCGCTTCGTACAGCTTTCGAGCCCTCCCCTGGTCCCATCACTTCTACTACCTTCAATCGCAACGGCTCCATCTTTGCGTACGCCGTCTCCTACGATTGGTCGAAGGGTCATTCTGGTATGACCCCTGGACACCCAAACAAGATTATGTTGCACGCCTGTAAAGAGGAGGAGGTGAAGAAGCGAGTAGTAAAGGGACGGTAACGTGGGGATGTCGGGAAGTAATATATATGAAGGCGAGAGTGTGGTTAGTTTGTTTCTTCTGTATAAACTCTTGTAATTTGATGCGCCTTAGTCCTCTACTAAGTCAGTCCGACATGAGAGTGGTAGGAATGACGAGTGGGCGTGGCCAGCAAGTGTATCGCATCGAACAAGTGTGTAAGCCTCGCCGTACGACAGCATATTCTTCGAGTCCACAAGGGTCGATAGTACACCCGACCGCGATCAAGTTATCCACGTCTGCTACTAGACACAGTATCGTGCAGATTCACCTTCCTGTAACGGTGATCATTATGTGATTCTGCCCTTCGCATCGCGAACCCAAGTACCTAAATACGGGTCGTGATGAAATGAGTCAAATTGGCGCCGGGTGGCGTCCTAGTTGATCGAGCTAAGGGTTTACTACCAATCATCCTTCACCCGGTACCTCGATGTCCTTTCCTAACGTTTCTACCGCTCCAGCACGGAAGGATGTGGAAATAAGGGGACCACCGGCTGACTCCATCTCATCACTAAGTTTCTCTCCAACTGCAGACTTCCTAGCTGTGGGAGGATGGGATAACAATGTACAACATCGCATCGTTGTCCACATTGCATCGTATAATTAACAGTTTACAGGTTCATGTGTATGAAGTTGCTGGCAACCTGGATTCCCGTGGAGTAGCAATGTACTCTCATCAAGGTCCAGTACTAGGAGTCTGCTGGAACAAGGTCCGCGTCCATATTTCACCGATTTGTCATGCTCTTTGCATCTGACTCTCTGTGTTGCAGGATGGCACCCGGATCCTGTCCGGAGGCGCCGACAACGCTGCGCGTGTGTTCGATGTACAAACTGGACAATCCTCTCAGGTCGCTGCCCACGACGCCCCTGTGAAGGCAGCGCGGTGGATTGAGAGCCCTCAGGGGTGCATACTCGTCACCGGAAGTTGGGACAAGACTGTCAAGGTCAGTCATTTCCTCTTAGGCATTGCGTTTATTAACGAAACTCTCGCTCGTGAAGTACTGGGACCTTCGCAGCCCACAACCTATTGGAGTCGTCTCGCTTCCTGAACGATGCTATAGTTTGGATGTCGTCTACCCGCTCATGGCCGTTGGGACAGCGGACCGCAATATCCAGATATTTGATCTCAGGAACCCGATGACGCCCCGCAAGTCCATTCCGTCTCCGCTTAGGTGGCAGACGCGAGTTGTGAACTGCTTCCTCACGGCCGATGGATTCGCAGTTGGAAGCATAGAGGGCCGAGTCGCTATGCAGTGCGTTACAGGCCCTCGCCTGATACCACACCTTCTGAATTGCCATGCTCTAGCGCAGTTACATCAGCCAGAATAATATGGCGTAAGTGCTACATTATCTCCATTAACTTATCGCTCCCTGACGCATGTTGCTAGGAATAATTATACCTTCAGGTGCCACAGGCAGGACATGAAGCAGGCCTCCAAGGTGGAATCCGTAGTTTACGCCGTGAATGACATCATATTTCATCCGGTCTACCAGGGGACATTCGCCACTTGTGGTACGTTCACGTACTCCAGATTCAGTCTCCCTTAACTCACCTATTTGGACGTCAGGGTCCGACGGCACCATCAACTTATGGGAGAGAGACACTCGTACACGACTCCAAAGTAAGGACCTATCTCTGGGTCCTTGGATTCCATTAACGAAAATCACTACCAGCATTAGAGCCATGTCCCGGTCCAGTGACGTCGATGGGATTCAACCGGAGTGGCACGATCTTGGCCTACGCTGTGTCCTATGATTGGTCCAGAGGTTACTCCTATATGAAAACCGGACACCCTAATAAAATCATGCTACATGCGTGTCTGGATGCAGAAGTGCAAAGGAAGGCCAATTTTCCCAGGGCGAACTGAGTGGCCTCTCGCAGGTCTGGTTTTGATTATGCCTCGGTGTGCACCGTTTACATCTATGGGGAAATAGCTGCTAATCGTACGATCTATCACAGTGATACGAGTGTGCTCCACGGAATGTGCATAAACACAAGAGAAAAGTAAATATTGCAGTCCATAGTGGGATTGTTGGGGTCTCATGAATAAAGAAATTCAGCTGAAACCAAAAGGAATGACGACAAACCTGGGACTCGAACCCAGAATCTCCAGCTACGAAATAACCGGAAACTGGCGCGTTAACCATTACGCTAGTCTGCCTCATCTCGATTTTTTCTTGTGTACAGTATTGTACCATTGAATAATGTGGTATATTTTGCAGCACGTCCTGTATATTTTTTCACACATTCTTTCCTAAGCTAGTTACACTATATTAAATCTGGCGCCTTCTAGAAAAAATTAAGACCAATAGAACTATTTTCTCATGAGTTATATTACTGTACCATTTCGATCAATTCGCCGCCGGCCATGACGCGTGACAACCGGAATCAGTTCGCCAGCCCGCCGTCTCGCCGGACGACGCGTGACAAGCTCCCAACTTCGCCAGTGTCCCAGACATGTCGGATATTTCCGTATAGACTTTTAATCCCAATTTAATCCATTTTAAACCTTCTTTCTGCTGGTAATCACTTATAATGGTGTTCGGAATTTCCGACATTGGCATTTCATTTCGCCACCTAGCTACATGACGCGTGACAATACCTAAATTTCGCCACGCCAGAGGGACGCGTGACGCGTGACACGGCGAATTGATCGAAATGGTACAGTATATGATCTTTGTGTCGTAATCTTATCTGATAAGTTTTGCTACTCATATTTATCTAATCTGTCGGCATCTTGTTAGATCTCAGATCCAGCCACAGTCTAGGACTGGGCGAGACGGCTTGCTATCAAGACACGGGTCCGATGTTTGGTAACGGCGAACATGCTACATAAGGCATAGACCATTGCCATTTCCAAAGGATGTCCGCACCTTGGGCGCAGTAATCCCGCGAGCTGGTTCCTCAATCAAATACACACCGTGCCAAGTGCCTATGGCTCGAGCTCGGCCGCTCCATTGCAACGACATACGCCAATTCAATGTTCAACGCCATGTGCGACACATCCATAAATATAGACGAGTACATGGTCATTGGGAGCCGGGACGCTGACAAACTGCAGGAATACGACGAATGCAACAACAGGGAGGGCAATAATGTTACAAGTACGAGTAAAACGAAGAACGCCAAACGATTATAAGGAAAGCTTGTCTCGAATCGTGCTATTGTACAAAACGTTGCGTCTTCAGTCTATGGCAAAGCAAATTGAATTTATTCTGGAAATAGACGCGTATATGTAGTTAGCTCAGGTGACAGCAGCGGCAGAGATATCACACGTACTATTTCTGCTCGAGGACGGTGTCACCTCTGTGCCTTCCAAGCTTCCTTGTTACCCATGTTCCCAAATTTCTCGCCAACATCCTGTATCGGAGGGGGATTCCTCTCCTGCAAGTTGTTCGCGCCCTTCGTACCAGCATGATCCATCAACTCCGTCCCCTTGTTGGGGTTGCCCTCGTGCCTGATCCGGGCGCTCTCCCCAACACCCGAGTCGTTCCTAGGCACTGCGCTGCTGAGATTGGGATGAGCGAGAGTGGATGCGGTGGAAGAAGAAGCGGCATCGAGTACCTCCAGGCGCTCGGTGGCAGTGTAGTTCACGTAGGGCGCGGATGTGGGGTAGGCACCGGAGGGGACGGCATAGGGCGTGTCGCTGGGATCGGGCTGAGAGACGACGTAGTGATACGACCCGTTGGCGGCGAGAGTGGGTTCTGAGGAGTATTCGATGTTCTTCTCGTAAATGCCGTTCTGCACTGAGGGAGGGGTGGTGAGAGGAGATTCGGCGAGGGCGACAAAGGGCGAGCGGAATCCACGGGCGGCAAAGGGACGGGAAGCGCGGTGGGCGGACTTGGAGAGGGCGCGTAAGGCAGACATGGTGGTCGTGAGCTAAGGAGAGGGACTAGAGCGGGGGAGGCTTGAGAGTCCGGGCTAAAGAAGATGTGGGGTAATATACCATTTACGTCATTGTGGATTCTCACGCCCCACCTAGTAATCTTCGGACTGCCGTTGCCTGTATCCATCTGGTGTATGTTTCGTTTCCCCAGTCTTTTGCTCATGAATGACAAGTACTCGGACTTGTGTGTGGCTTCCAGCGTTGTTTCTCTCCCTAGCAACGCCACAACCCCAACGAGAGCAACTGACGTGGCATTTGCCCGATGCTCGCAAAAAATAATGATTGGCCAGGTAGATTCATCAAGCGATGGCCGTTGGCAGCCTCGGAAAGCTTGCATGGAATTGGTCGACGCGTGCTCAATATTAATGATGCGATTCCGCAGCCGCCCAGAATCCATCTCCGAAGTGCGCCCGCATTGTATTAGGATGGGATGCGACCATCGGACGCGCATTATCTGCTCATTGTGGACGTTTTCTGGTGTCGACCTGGGTCTCCTCTGCTGACTGTGTCGCTATGAAATACGAGTGAATCCACCGAGTCTCCGTGATGTCGTGAGGCTCGCTCAAAACTTGGATACCGTGAAGGCGTCTTTTCGTGCGCTGTGTAGCTTGCACCTTCTCGATTTCTTTCGTAGGTCTACCACTTGCAGTCTTGTCTCGTCGTGTAACTCAAAGATCGAAACGTCTCAAGGAGGATCTGTATCCCTCAAGTCGATCACTCTTTTGGTTCTGCTTTCCTTGGACTTTGCGTGCTCGGCCGTGATCTTCGCCATGCATCAATTTCGCTTGTTGGATCGATATTAATTAATTAATTCATGGGCTATCGGTGTCATATCTGTCAGATTCGCTGGATCTTGGCAAGACTCGTGTATTCACCTCTCTCTCGACGTCATCGCGTGTCTGTCCCTTTACTTGCCGTGGTCTTGTGATATTCGCCGGGACGATCGACGATCCTCCAGAATCGCCAAAAACGGAATTCTTCTCGAATTCATAGCTCGGCAGAACTCTTCACAATTTGATTAATTATAGGTATCTTTTCACGTGGACGACTATGTTCACAACATGAAGGCGATATGACTGCCAATCGACCAATGTCGACGCGGCTCATCGAGTAGATCGAAAATGGCTGGTAAATATTCACGAGGCTAGGTCACCGGTGGAGGCCCGATCATACTCGCAGCACCCCGTCCTACACCTTTGAGATTTCCGAGCGTCCCTGCAAATTCCGACTCTACCATGGACTATCCTACTGCTAGAGCAGACTCTCCCTCCAGACCCGAGCCCTCTTGCCAGGCCACCCACCAACTGAAGGTTCTTCTCACACGGGATGCCAGCCAGAGAATCAAGTCGACGATGTCAGGCAAACCATACCGCACGGACCCGTCGGGCTCAGCCAAACGCCATGAAAGACAGGGTTGGGCATCCCTAGCAGCGGTGGGTGGATGGCTACTCCGTAGCTGAGAATCAGCATCCGATGAACTCTACTCCTAAGATTCTGCAGCGGACAGCACCACTTGTGCTGGTCGAGGGATCCCCAGATTGCCAGGGCCTTCAATGTGTTGTTGCGGTCCAGGGAGGGTGGTCAGGAGCTGGTTGTCTGGGCTGGCTCTTGTGTCTGGGGCAAAGGACGTCGTGCGAGGCTTCCTGTTCTGTGGCGAGTTTTGCTTGTCTGCTGGATTTCGGGCCTGGTATTCTCGTCGTCGTCAACGAATACGATCGAGTTACGAAGTCCATACGTACTTGCAGCACTCTCCAGGCCGGGGTAGATTCAACCTTGTTCTTTTGCGCGATTCCCTTGTACCCGCCGCATTTTGTCGTGTATGCACCTAGGACGCAATTGCACAGATACATATATAATATTATACGCAGTCGTCGGCGTACATGGCTTAGGATTCAATTATACAGCTTATACAGTTTCGATTGTCCGAAGTACGAGAGAGGCTACCATAATACAGACTAGTCGATACTTGCTCCGACGCGACCAAAAGTACCACCTCGCCGACATGAATTCTGGGTGCCCTCCTAGGCTAGGACCGGATTGAGGTGGGCGTGCTCGAAGCGCTTGGTGTTGTGGAGGACCTTCATAATGAAGGAGATGGGGGTGACATAAGACACGTCCGCGGAATCGGTGGCACTGGGGCCGGAAGTACCGCCAGTGATGATGCCACCGACGCGGCCGAAAGCGTTGGCGAGGCAAGACCCAGAGTCACCTTTAGCGGAGAACAGTCGGTAGGAATGACCGGCCATTCCCTCGACTCCTGGTACTGGCCGGCAAAGTAGCTGCGGGTATAAGACGAAACGTTGTTCGCCCTGCCAATGGTCGTACCAGTCTTTGCGCCGTTCTTGAAGACGATCAAGCACCGGTCGCCGTTGACGTCGAGCATGGGCGGCTTGGCGAGGGCGCTCTCGGGGACCTGGTCTTCGAGCGCCACGAGACGGTTGGCCGGGAATCTGAAAGAAACGGGGCTGGTGTGATGTAGACGGACCTTGTCCAAGAACTGTTCGCGCGTGTACTCGTTGCCTATGTTGATGGTGTTGCCGCGGTAGTTTTCGGCGTCGAGCGTGCCCGCGTCGATCTTGATGACGGCGAGGTCCAGGGTGTACTGGCCGGGATCGGTGGAGAGGACGAGGGGGGGAGGCCAGGCGAGCTCACCGAAGACACGCTTCTCCTTCGCCCCCCACTGGGTGGCAATCCCGCGGCGCAAAGCGTGGAGTGCTTTCAGCCCCGCCCCCGCCTTCAGCAACCCGCCGCCTCGCGCTCAGTGACCGACCTGAGATCGTCCATGTCCTGAACCGATTCGATCCGCTCGTCGGCATCGGTGAAGGCATACTCTTGGCCCCTAATCTCGTAGTCGATGGCGGCGAGCTTCTCGTTGAAACCGGATGTACCAAGGATAACAACGTCTTCACGCGTCTTGCTGGTGTTCGTGTGCTCACATTCATTGTTGTCGTCCTGTTCGAGAGGGAGGACAACGTGCAGGGCAGTAACGAGGTAGATGTCCTTGTCGTCGCCACCGGTGCTGAGGTAGAATCCATCCGTTCCCTCGGCCCATGGCCTATCCTTGGCAGAGATTGGGATGCCAAGGGTCGCGGTGTATGGGTCGCGAGCCATAAAAGTCGGGTCGGACAAGGGGACGGGATCCAAGAACCGATTGCCCGCCTGTCTCATAACGCGAGACTCCGGATTTCTACGTGGTAGTCGGGGATACCGTAACTGTCGATCAACGTGCGGCACTTGAAAGCGACGGCACTGCCCTCCTCGAAGCTGAGCGCTCC